GGGAAAGAGACAGGATTTGGCATGACTATGCCTCATTGGGAGGTGTTTTCTCCCTCTCCCTGTCTCTAACTCTCTTTCTGTCTCTCTCTAGTGAGTGCATATACCCTCTGATAATTAAAAAAATAATACTTAATGAAGTCCTACATCTAGAAGCTAAAGGATAGTAACTACCATCATTAAAACACAAGCATCTCACTCTGTGACCCCAAAATATATTACAAAGCTGTGATCATCAAAACAGCACAGTATTGACATAAAAGCAGGCATGTAGACCAATAGAACAGAATAGAGACCCTAGGAATAAATCCCCAAACATACACCCAACTGATTTTATACAAAGGGCACCAACAATCCAGTGGGAGAAGATCTCTTCAGCAAATGGGGCTGGAAAAATGGGGTATCCATCTGCAGAAAGATGAAACTGACTCTACCTCTCACCATTAACAAAAATCAACCCAAAATAGATCAAAGATCTAAACCTAAGATATAAAACTATAAAACTACTTGTGGATAATACAGGGTAAATTCTTAGAGACATCAAAGTAGGCAAAGACTTCTTAAATAAGACTCCCAAAGCAGAGGCAATAATCCCCAAAACAGATGAGTAGGATTACACCAGGTTTAAAAGCTTCTGCATAGAAAAAAAAAATAGAGTGAATCAACAACCCTCAGAATGGAGCGTATGTTTGAAAACTATACCTCAGATAAGGGAGTGATAATCAGAATATACAGGGAGCTCAAGTAGCTTACCTGAAAAAAAAAATGAACCCAATTAAAAGATGGGCAAATGAACTAAATAGACAATTAAGGAGGATATACAAACAGCCAAAAAGCATCTGAAAAAATTCTCTACACTCCTTATCATAAAGGACACACACAATGAGATACCATCTAACCCCAGTCAGAATGGCTAAGATTAAAAAAATAAAGAATGATAAATGCTAGCAAGGCTGTGGTGAAAAAAGAACTCTCCTACACTGTTGGTGGGAATGTAAATTAGTATGACACTGTGGAGAACAACATGGAATTGGTTCCTCAAAAACCTACAAATAGAACTACCATATGATCCAGCAATTCCACTCCTGGGGTATCTATCCAAAGGATAGGATACACTTAGTCAGAAAAACACTTGCACATCCATGTTTATTTCAGTATTATTTACAATTGCTGAGACATGGAACCAAACCAAATGTCCATGAACAGATTAAAAAACCATGGCACATATACAAAATACTACTCAGCCACAAAAAAAACAAAACAAAACAAAACAAAAACAAGATCTTAGCATTTGATAGAAAATGGATGAATATGGAATATTTACTGCTAAGCAAAGCAATTCAGGCTATGAAAGAGACATTGCACGATTCTACTCAATATATACCAAATGTCTGTACTCTATGGCAAAAACTGAAAGAAGGGAAGGAGTAATAGCATGGAGAGAAACTGTGGACACTGGAGACAGTATGGGAGAAGGGTAGGAAATGAGGGAAGGTGAGAGGGAGGAAATCAAGAGGAAAAGAAAGAAGCAAAACATTTAAGGGACACAA